CTAAAGCCCTAAACCCTAAAAAACTAGACCATAAAACCCTAAAGCCAAAACCCTAAAAACCTAAACCCGAAAACCCTGAAGCCTTGGACCCTAAAAACCAAAACCCTAAAACCCTAAAGCTCTAAACCCTAAAAACCTAAACCTTAAAACCCTAAAGCCCTAAACCCTAAACCCTAAAACCCTAAACCTTAAACATCCTACACCCAAAGCCCCTGGAATGACGAAGCGGGTTTTACTTGCTACTTGTTATCTTGTCTTCTTCTGCCCCCGGAGGTCCCATTCCGAAGCCCAGGAAGCTGCCCAGCATCTGGGCGGATTACACATGCCACAAGTGGTGTTGCAAGCGCTGCTGAAGGAGCCATATTACCCCAAATCCTACATACTCAAAGCCTATATCCAAAGCTTTCGGCCGGGAATCCCTGAAAACCATCACTTCTGTGCCCTGATTAGGATGTTGGTGAGCTGGGCAGCAACAGCAAGGTGTGCTGCATCAACCTCACGCCCTATGACGGGGCCTTTGAGAAGGCCTGCATCCAGTCTGCTTACAACAATGGGCCCAGGACAGACAGAATAGTCGTTGCCGCTAGAGTCAATGATTACTCCCTAAACCCTCAACTCTTAATGCCATGATATTGATGATCAGCGATGGACTGAGCAGGCTCACAGCAGCAGTCGGGATTATATAATATTTAGAGCCCTTAGACTATTTATTTCTTATTTTCACAAGGGGCATCCTAGAATTGGGTGTTGGATCCTCGGTTGCCATTCTGTTTCCAGGATTCTTGCCTACTCCGTTGGCGAGGACAACACGATTGTGAAGTACTCCGAAAGATTGGTTGCCCAGTTCCTTTTGGAGGAGTTCTGCTGTCAAAGCTAGCACACATGCATGGTCGATAGAAGCTAGGGAATACTAAGTCGTGTCAGGACTGGAAGACGGGGAACAACCTTATCGGGGCTTCAAGCTTCCAGCCCGATCCGCCTGCAGCAGACTTGCAAGGCCCTGCCGATCCTACCTTCAACCTCTGCGCCCTCACCCGAAACGCGGAGGGCAACTTGGCCATCACTTTGCCCCCCGGCATCCGCACGAAGTGGTCGGAGGACTCAGCACGCAAGGAAGATTGGGGGAAACTCTTGGCAAAGTTCGATGCTTCGCAACTTAGTCAAAAGCAGAGTGACTGACTGACTGACTGCGCCTCGCATCTGACATCTTGCACTCGTGTGAATGTAGTGATAAAGCTTCATCATTAAGGGCCCACACGACTACGGCAGCATCCGCTACCTCCACTACCTCCGCTACCTCTACTACGGCGGGGGCCGAAGCCGTGCAGGGCCAGTGGGGTGCCGAGCCCAAGACAGCCGATGAATTGGAGACCAGGTACGATGTGCTGCACACCTTTCCGGGCAGGAACGCCAACGTCACGCTCAAGATCACCCCGGCTGTGGAAAAAAACCGGGAGCAAGCAGCGAACGCGTGCGAGGGCCAAGTGCACAAGCTGTTCTTGGTTCCCAACTCAGAATTCAAGACACATGATTAGGACGAGTCGTGCATATGTTTATGCAACAGCCACGTCTTCCATGATTCCAGAATCACTCAGACTCTCAGGTTGCCAACAGCGATGTGACCCTCCCCAAGAATGAGTACCAGCTGGCACACGACCGGGCATCCTTCCTGTCTGGGCAGAAAGTCCAGAAGCTGATGGAGCAAGGAGGCAGGTCCGGGATTAAGGATTGCAGAGACACAGAGAGAGAGAGAGA